GAGTACATCCAACGCAATAATAAGCATCAGCTACACCGGGTCCACCACAAACGACGCAACGTCCTTGGAACGAGCCAAAGTTGCACTCATCGCAAATGCGTACTAGGGTAGCAGGTCGTACGTAACTGTAAACCATGTCAGTACCATGGATAGAAATGTAATAGATCTTGTTCTTACCTATCGCAAATGACACATCGGCCATCACACTTATCACATAGACGACCAATGGCAATGCCGGGTTGCTTTCGACAAAAAATAAGATCGGGATGATGTTTGGCTGCCATAAAGTAAATGTGTGTAAGAGGCAAGGAGTGGAAAAAATGAAAAGAGGAAAAGCGTCAATGGATTATGCGTACTGCGCCAATTGTTGTATACGTTCCTTTCTTAATATCACACACACGTATCATTCATTGGTCTTGTCGTACATTGACTAACACACATATACACATTGAATTTGTCAGCCCTTTGTTTCGACAAGTTTCCCTCTTTTCATGTAGATGATAGACACAATTATATAAAACAATCATATTCAATATATAAAACCATAAATTTATTCAATCCAAATGTTCAATTCCTAGTGTAGATCCAAGGTGGACGGGGGGTGGAATATGAACCTACAACAACGCGTTCATCAGTAACTTGCATTGCTTGAACAAAACAATCAATGAAGGATAAGTGAATGTATCTTGGCTGCACTTTGACTTCCTGGGACATGTGATGATTCACCCAACAAGCTTCGATAGAGCCTTTTATTATATCCATCATTCATTGTAAAAAAAGAAGAAATGATATTTACCTTTGTGGAAAGAACCAGAGTATCCCATCCATGTCAAAGTCCTCCACCCCTTTTAAAATTTTGTTCAGTTGGCTCTCAGCCACCATGACGCGTGCAAAGTGTACATGGATCGGGAATATATCTGTCATTCTTGGGGTTACACAATCAACTCATTCATCCCATGGTAAAAAGAGTTTGGCTTTGGGTGTCTTTTCATGAGGGGCTGCAGGATAATGAAATACTTGTGGAGGTTCAGGTGAAAATCTAACAGAGTGTGGTCGTGCTACATGATCACTTGGAGGTGAAAGACAACTTGACTTAAGTGCTGGTGGTGGTACACTTTGTGATCCACGTCGCTTGGTCATATCATATTGACTTGGTATATCATCATCATCACCATGATCAAGTGCTGTAGGTCTTAATTGGATTTGGGGTGTGGGATGGTATAGAATATCTTGCATCGGCGTTGCTGTTGCTGGAGTAGGTTGATGGATATGGTGTTGTTGATCGTCATCATGAAGCGTAGGGCACCCAGCAGTCCTTGCCATTGTGCATTTGTATATAAATAGGTCGAGAGAGATGTATATGAATTTATTAATGTAGGAGGAGTTTTATTGATAATATCACTTTTTTTTTCTTGACCCATGCAAAACCAATGTAAAAAGCCTTGCAGATCAAGATTGGTTCTTGTACCTTCTTCTTGTCATCATAGATTAGGAGCAAAACTCCATACTGTACCCATCAATGCCATACTGATAGCAATGACAAGAGCAATAATATGCAGTATTGTCTTTTGGGGCGAAATAGATGAAGCGTAGAGTTGTTGATAGCATAACAGCGGGAAAATAAGAGAAATGCTGAAACTAAACAGTGCACCTAACAAAGACTAGAATACTCGGTGTGAGAAAGATGCAAAATGAAACAAGAATAAAAAAAACGTACCATCACTCGGTCAAATCCAGGAAACACAATGGCAATGTACACTGCAATAGCAGTTACCAAGATACGACTCACAATGCGAAGAAAGCGCTGTTTCCATACATAGGATGATCCATCATGCAACCAAGTCTCCACTTTGGATCGAGCTGATATCCACAATTCCCAAGCAATATGTAAAGGCTTCATGATCAATGCAAACTTGGCAATAGGTGTTATGACCACGAGCCACAGCGCCACTGAATTGAGAATGCGATAATAACCTGGTGTCACAGCAAGGTTTTGTGTGATCTACAAAACACATCCATTATTGACTGCCCTTTTTGGGTACATGTCTCTTGTACTTTACCTCTTGCATTGTTTGTGATCCAAACATCAAGTATCCAGCTACAGCCATGGTTAAATAAACGGCTGTTGTGATACCATAGGTGATATCGACCATGCGATCGTATTGCTTTGGATCTTGCATATCGCGGTATAATTGAGGAAATACAGCATGCCCAGCGAATCCTGCCATCATGAGTCCAAAACTAATAGGAACCTTGAATAGATCTGATGGTAACCATTCAGTAGCCTATCATGTAAAATTAGTTTAATGATTGCATTTCTTTTTTTATTCTTCTTCTTACCATTGGATCCCAAAGACTACCAGGTTGTTCATGCTTGCAAAATCCATCCACCAATACCACCAATACGAGACTAGCACAACTCACAATCCCAAGAAGGCTAGCCATGGATAACTGTCGTAGAGGGAAAAACACAAATGGTGTCACGAGACAAAAGCAGAGTAATCGCGAAGTGACAAGATCCATATCTGAGTACACGGCTTGAAGTCCATCTCCTAGTAAAGTGATCATAGCTACCCTATAATAATAAAGACGTGTTAATCATCCCAAGAATGAACCCATGCATAGATGATACATACGCCATTGTGGCAAGTTCTACAAAAAAGACACCACCAATCAAGGTACGTCCACGTTCACCAAAGGCTGCCATACCGATATCACCATAGGTGGTTGCACCAGGCACTGCATCCAAACATCTCACAAGCAACTTGGCTGTATAATTGGTACCAATAGCACAAAATGTAAAGATCAAGGAACCAAACAACCATCCTGCATAACGAAACGCAAGGGGAAACGCAAGAATTCCCACGCCTATAAGCACGTTCATTGCATTGAACACAGATTGGACAAAGTTGGATTTAGGGGGCGGAACACTGTCGGTTTTCAATTGTTGTGAAATCACTGAAGCTACTGTATCAGGTCGATACAGTGATCGTGTACGTGTTTGTTCAGCCATTCCCCCTTCAGTGGATGGCATGAGATGGATACTATGATAGGTGTGTTGTGATACCGAGCGTTCTAGGCTCAATTGTTGTTTGTTGCTATGGAAACAGGATGAGCACCCTTTTTTTTATCATTTTCCTTTTTCTCTCCCTTGTTTTCACTTACCTGTCAAGTGGCGGTTGTTCCTCATCTAATAATGGTATCGTTGCTGTTGAGGATCTCTCCATCATATTGTTGGTATGTTCATCATGGTGGTGATGATGATGTGATGTTGGGATATTCTCGGCCATAAAAAGGACCGATGCTCTTGAATAGGATTGTGTAAATGATCCAAGTCTCGACATGAAATCCGAATCTTCTCGAGCACTGAAATAAGGTGTCTCGGCTTCCATTGCTGTCGACGTTGCGCCATAATTTGGATGTGCATTGTTTGGTACCCGGATAGGAATGGGCATTGTATCATTATTGGAGCTATTGCTTTCTGCCTGCTGTGGTATTGAACTAGGCGACGGTGGCATCTTTGTCATGGAGGAGATAGTAGAAAAGAAAAATCAATCCCTTTTTTTCACCTCGCACAACATCCCTACTTTATATGCTCCACTCTTTTACTGCTGCTGCTCTTGACTTGAAACAATTGAACCCTGTATACATATATCACTCCTTCCTTTTTGTGCCTTCCGCTTGCCAAAAGACTTTTTTTTACACACGCACATATGATACTTTAAGGATCTCTCCTATCCCCAGCCTCCTCTATTCACGTACGATTTTTGTTGTTTGTTATCACACATCTGCCTTTTCTGTCGGTGATTCGTATATGCGTAACACAACAAGTGTTTTTTATTTCATCCGCCATTCAGCAGTAACAACAATCTGCGAAGCGTATGATTCTAAAAGCTACATGGGGAATGATGCGCCATGATGCATGATAGTAAAGAATTATATACATCATTGAAAGTTGAAGAGTAATCATATGTTAAAATATAAGCTACATTCATTACATGTATCATGATCCGACATTCTTACGCATCGACCACTGATCACTGTACGATTTAATATCACCATATTTGAAACAAGCCATCGGCGACACTTGTCACTTGCTCGGACTTCGGCCCTTGTCGCTTTACAAGATGCTGTAGAACCAAGAGTACTACAACACTAAGCAATTTCTCTCAGCGCTGCTACTTTCTTTATCTGGTACCTTTCGATTTTCAACCGAACACAGGGCATCCATGCATTATTATACGTCCGTAATCAAGACACATTCACAGCATGCGAGAACGGGCTGGATGATGGAATCAAGGGTCGGATGTGGAACGTGCTAGATGCTTTTAATCATAAAAAACAGGAACAGAATTCAAGTGATGGAATACTTTGAATAGAAGATATCGACATGGGGCGAGATAAAGAGGAAACTGGAAGAATAGCAAGATAACTGACTGATGCTTTATTGCTAAAAGATAACTGGATATAGGAAGAATGCTAATAAAACTAAGCAAATATAACAATGAACATGAGTTAATCACAATAGAGCAACACAACTCATAACATGTTTTGAAAAGGGTGGCGTTTTATTAGAGATAGAGATATATTGTATCGTGCCATGTCTCCATGTCGAATGGGATTGCATTGACCATTGGGCTCATTGCGTAAATGAGACAACTGAAAATTTCAACACTGAACAGTTCGTTCGCGAGCAAAGTAAAAATGAACAAAAACAAAGGACACCAAATAAAGCATTGTTTATCACAACAACTAGCTCAGCTGAAACATTGACATTACTCAATGTTCATGCATCTAATTATCACTCCGACAGTTACCGAAATCCCTTTTGCTTTAAATTAATCATGACACACTTCCCATCCTGCATTCATAAAAATACCATCATGTTGATGAAATGCTCCGCTGCATGATGATATTAATAACAGCAGCGTTTATTGTATCTTCCTTATAAGGAAATTTTGGTGTTGATTTGAATTCTCCATTTTTCGAAAATAGTTGACGCCCTTATGGCCCAATTGGACTAAGGCGCCGGTCTTCTAAACCGGCGATTCTGGGTTCGAGTCCCAGTAGGGGCTAATGATATCCTCTCCAAGAGGTATCTTTTTCACGTTTTACTCCGGGTAAATGTTTATGCGTTTGTCGCAGCTTTATGCTCGGCAAGCCATTTTACCGAATGGCGCCACATTGCCTTTTTATGACAATCATGCAAAGCCTGATTATACCACCACACTTCCAAGCCCACCTTATACTTCGCCACATGATTATAGATAGCCAAACAATATAAATATCCCCTCATCTTTAAGCAATAAACATCATCTTATATTCTGTACTTGATTCACTATCCTAGTTGATCTATCTCTGGCCATTGGTTTACCAGCTCAGATATTGGACCGACACGTTGTTGTGACGTATGCTGATTGTCGGATATGCTTCCTTCTTTTTGGTGAAATCACATGATCTGGATCGACCATTCGATGGGACTCGTTTTACACAAATATACCACTCGGACGCATCTTTATATCAGTTCCATATCTCGATTGTTTCTAGGATCTACACACATACATCTATATAAATGTGCATTGTATTCAAAAATGAATCTTTTGTAAAAAGTCATTCATGTCATATTATTGCTCTGATCTTGCCTTGCAGTCATTCTTGATCACAGCATATGTAGCATATTTCATTCTTGCAGTAGTTCAAACAAAAATAACGACGCATTCGCAGTTAAATCAAATGCTAGAGTAGTTGGGTGGATGGAAGGATGGAGGCAAAAGTAGATGTAGAATAGTGCAAGAGCAGAATGTGATGAGTCACAAAGGATGAGACAAGAAACGAGTTTGAGGAGATAACAAAATAACTGGTTATTGCAGAAGAGTGGCTAGATTTGTATGTGGGAGATTGGAGTTGATGGAATGATAATATATGCATGAGCGAGACAATAAATGCGACATTGGTTCAGGAGCATGTGACATGTCAATCATGACAATGGATAAAGGTACAAAAAGGTCATAGAATGTTTATTGGCAAAAGTGCATACGGGGCAGTCAATTGCTCAAGTTTTAGGTATCGCTTAGCTATCCCATTTGATAAAGTTGTGCAAGATGTGAATTGACTCTATGCCGTCAAGGTAAAGCGTTGGCTACCATTCACCTAAGTCCTTGTAATGCATGATCAATTCATTACTGTTACACTCGATAACATGGTACAAGTTTCATAAATCGCTGGTATTGGCATGTTTTTATGTATGTATAAAAGGAACAGAAAAAAGATATATTGGGGATTATTCATTGCTTGTTTACAAATTGACGCATGCGATCCAGTTCACGATGCACTTCCTTTTTGCTAATGGTGTTTCGTCGACCGGTGCCTGTTTGTTCACCCATTGGCAATCCCATACCGGGTGTGGTTGCTGTAGGCGATCCACCTCCAGATCCAGTTGTCTTGCGTGCCAGCAATGATTGAAAGAAGCTAGCAATAGCTTGATTGGATGCCATATCGTTTCCATGTACAGAATTTCCAGCACCTGTTCCTGCTCCAGCACCATCCACGGATGTTTGAATGGGATCCACTTGTGGAGATGACCTTGCACCTTGAGCCTTGGAAAAAGAATCCTATACATACAATGAGCCATTATCATTCTATCACATTTGCGTATATACAACATACCTTGTGTCGCAGTGATCGTCCTGCATCTGCATTATCCACCAATTCAATCGATGCTTGTGACATGTTGATTGGACCTACAACACTGGGGCGTGCTGATATACTGCCAGATCGTGCCTTAGTAGTTGTACCCTCTGGACGTCTTGCAGGTCGCAAGGTTTCATGATGACGTTCGAAAAAGACTTGTTCATCCTCACAAGTAACAGGAGGGGATATATTGAGAGGCTGTTCCACTGTTTCTGGATCGGGTATCACTTCTTCATACACACCACGAGCACCATGAGCACCAGGTTGTTGACGATCCATAATAGCTTCCATATCGGCATCCCATTCTTGGTGCACTTCCTCACAATCGAATCCTTCCCGCAATACACGAATTTTGCCCCATGAATCCCATCCTGCTGGTACAAGTACTGAGTCACGTTCAATCACTTGAGCCTTGAGATTAAATGGATATGCTTTGGTGTTGGTTGTAAGCAAGCGATGAAGAATATACTGTCTCAGGTTGTGGAAGGTGTATGGATGCAATGTGGATGTATAAAACATAGCGGCACCATCTATGTGTAATCCAGAAATCAGGAATTGGATCAGATTCATGCCGCTCAGTAATACCAAGGAATTACTTACACTTCATGCATACACAACGTAATGTTTGTTGAATATAATCGAATTGTTCTTCCTTGTAATCTTGTGTTTGTTCCAACATGTTGAGCACATCACTCTATAATAATAACATGAGTCATCGTACAAACATGTCATCAAAAGAGAGAACAATTTACCTTGCAGCAAACAATGACAATAGGAACACCAAGATTTGTAGTAAGGCAACCTTGTGTGAGTGGAAGGGTGACTTGATCAGCTTGAGTAGTAGTAGTGACCAAAGGAGTAGAAACGACAGGTGTTGAAGGAACTGAGCTAGTAGAAGTAGAAGCAACCATGGTGTAACCATTAAGCGAATTTTGTGCAGGTTCCGTATAGGTTTGCAGGTAATGTTCCACTGGGATCTACACGTCAGTGAAAGTGTATACAATTATGCATTCTCCTTGATTACCTTTTTCACGCAACTCATCTACTACAGCTTTTCCTCGACTCCATGATTCACCAGCACTGCCTTGTTTGCAAATATCATCAATGACTTGTTGCAATACTTGGATCCAACGTTGAAATGACTCCAAAAACTTCCAAGGACGCGTCCAATCGAGTGCAATAATCACCAAAGAATCGGCCAATGTTTCCGAGTTGAGTGCAAATCGAAGCAAGGGGAGATACTCGGGTGCAGATAATCCAAGTTGATACATTCCGAGACGAGCAATGGCTATCGGAATATGTTTACTACGAGATGTACATCGTTGGCTGGCTGTAATAGATACTACCTTCATTATCCTCATCGTGTACATCGGCAAACGTATATCCCAATGCAAGCGTATTAGTCACATCCTCGTCGAGATTGTCAACAGACACGTGCGCGTAACTAGGAGGATTGACACCAAAAGAAGAAGCAGCAGCTACATCATCAGTTGTAGGTTTGGGTGCAAGCGGACCCGGATCGTGCTTGAGATAATGAATCAGTGTCGACTTGCCACAACTCGAGTCGCCTATCCATGACACATGAGTTAAAAGTAGTCATTGTGAATAGTTTATCAATAGAGTTTACCTAATACAAGGACGTTTTTGGTAGGGACCATTTTGGAGGATGCGACGCCCTTGAGAATGGAAGACCAGATTTCATCCTTTTCGGTAGCATTGGTTTGCGTAGCCGTGCCTGATGGAATGGAAGTAGTCGACTGGCTTTGGGTGGGTATATTGGATGGGAACAAGCCCGTATTGTCGCTGTCAGCAACAGTCATAGTGGATAACAGCAAAAAAGTGGGAAAGAGAAATGAATCGTTCCTGGACAGCACCCAAAAAAAGCTTGCAACTAGGCGGAGTATCTCAAAGCGCATAATGTCAACTTGAAGCTGCATCAGTTGATGCAAAGTATCATGGATCCTATAAGAACATCAACACATACGTATCAATGATTACATAGGTTAGCATATTAGATCCAATAAACCCTTTACTGCTTGAAAAGCATCTTTATAATGCACATATTGACCATCACGTGTTATGATGACATGTGCATATCCACATGCACTACCATATTCTAAAATCGATTGCCAGCTCTTTTATCATGAAAAGATTATGCTTCATAATACCTGAAAGTTTGAAAAATGATTGATAACGATAGCATGTAGCATAAACAGTGAACGTGCATTTCCTTTTTCGAGTATTAGCATTGGTCACAGCAAACAAAATGCGTGATCACAGGAGACGATATGTATGATAAAATAAAGCAGACATGACAACAAAAGGATGAAGCTGCATGCGATCAATAAAAACTTGCAGCGTGATACACACAAATCTATGATTCATTGGAATCAAGTTATAAATGAACATGTTGCTGTCAAATACATGCAGCTTCGTTTGCAACATTAGATCGACACTTGTTGCCCAACAAGAAGCCGGAACCATCGTTACAGTGGCGACATCCTAATAGAATTTGATCTATACAAGGATTATTTTTGCTGACTCTTGATACAGCATGGTGTTTCACGATGATATTACACTATATTATACATTGATTCGATATTCCAAAGACAATAGTATGGAGTGAAAAGTGCTTGCTGCAAGAGTAAACAATGACTTTACATGTTTAGTAGGACTATATATAATTGCTGCTTAAAAAGGACGTTTCCTGTTTCTTTTCCTTCCTTACTCTCTCTCTTTTTTGTTTTCTTTCTTCCTTGGAGATCGTGCACACACTTCATTTTATCAAACAGCAAGGTAAGCTGCATCTTTATAATGGTAAATACATATGTGCATGTTGAGCTCATTTTGCATACTGTTTATTGGGGGTCCCACCAATCTTCCCCACTATAGCCATGCTCGAGAGCGTTTATCAAAACTATTACATGTATCCAGAAGCATCTAGCACTGCTCCAAATTATGATGCTGCACCTCCACCACCTTCACTTGCATCAATCACTCCTTATCCTCCATCATCACAACAACAGCAGCAACTGCCTTCACCAACTCCCTCGATCATTCTTGGTGCCGGCAACAATAACAGCACGAGTCCCTGGTCATCAAACATGGCAGTGACATCAAACACAGTGCCTTGTAGTGGTAGCAATAATGACAACAAAGATCAAACCACTCGAATGGGAGATGGTTCTGATACACTTCAACAACAACAACATCATACTACAAGCAAAATCAAGAGCATTATTGGTGGATCATCATGTCGATTTGCCTTGAGACATAATCGATTGACAACGACTACATGGGAAGAAGAAAAGACTTCTTGTTACATGGTGGATGCCAAGGGCATATGCGTCACGCGCCGTGCAGGTAGTAACAAAGAACCGAGCCA